GCTTTGAAAACTTGTTGACATGTAGTTCATGTTCTCCATCTCTTTATGCGGCTCTACTGAATTACTGATTGATTATGCTGACTCTTATTATAAATAAAAATTTTGAAACATATAATGTATTGCCTTTATAGAAAAAGCTAAAGGATAACAAGGAAAGCCTACACTAGCTAACATTATACGATAATATTTTTGCCATATTATGCTGTTTGCACTATGTGTGTATATTAGTTTAGGCTAACTGTATGACAAAGATTTGTTTGTCTTTCTTGTGTTTTTGTTGTTCTTGGTACAGGCCACTTTTACTATGCCTTATATGCACAGCAGTAATACTGGAACTTTAATTATGTATCAATACATTTGTAGCTAATCAAGATTATTTGTTCCCAACAAACATGTTTACAGCTCTAAGTTCTAACCATACATCAATACTCTATATACAACTAACTATTATGAAACTAACTACTGTTTCTTTACTTGACATAAATCTCATACAATTGAACTGGCATACCATCATCATTCCATCCACTAGTACCACACACCCTCAGTTCAATGTAATCAGTAATGGTAGCATTACCATAATCTCTGAAGAACCATGGAAGACCAGTATCATTACAACAAGGAGCTGCAAGACAGTCATTCCCATCCCACAATGGATCAGTAGTGTAGTATCTATACTTGACCACTCAAAGTATTAATGTCTGTACCTGACTCACAATAGTAGTGCCCTCCTACAAATGATGGAACTGTATTAGTTGCTCCAGTATTGCAAGGACAGGTTAAAGCTCTATTGATTCAGACCTTAACCCAGCTATATAAGATCAGAGGTGACCCACATGTGATCTCCATCAATATAAGCACTATTGATATCATTGATGTTACTTTCAAAATGCATACTCTATAGAAGTAATAATTGAGTATTCCACTTGAGTAAATTTTTGTGGATTGAAGAATTTACCTTTTTAAAAATTAATTGTTGATCATTTTGAAATAACAGCACTAAAACTACTGACCCTATTTCCCTGGGTTTTATTTTCACAATTTCATAAATAAATTTAACTATTTTAGCTAGCACTGGGTACTTGCAAGGTCACAAAGCAAAGTTGTATTTATGTCAGCGAAAAGTACTACTCATTATTATGAACTCACTGCATGGATATGAATGCAGTATAAAGTAGCAAATGTCTCAAATTGATTTGTGTCTATAAAGTATACGTGACAGTTTACTTCTATCTACATTCTATTGTTTTTCATTTATTGTGTTGCTTATGCAGTGAATGTTTATTGTAGGCAATTTATCATTTTTTTGTTTATGTTTCTTAATGTTTTTTGTTATTCTTGGTACCAAGCCATCCTTACTATGCCTTGTATGCACAGCAGTGATATACAGCTGTAGTGCTTCTAAGATATTTTTTAATTATAAAACTATTATCAAATGAATTCTGTTGCTATACACACAATAATAATCTACTCTTAATAATAATCTTCTTTTACTTGACAAATCTCATGCAATTAAACTGGAGTATCTTCATCTGCATATCTACTATTCCCACACACCCTCAGTTCAGTGTAATCAGTAATGGTAGCATTACCATAATCTCTGAAGAACCATGGAAGACCAGTACCATTACAACAAGGAGCTTCAACTGAAGGGCAGTTATTTCCATCCCACAATGGATCAGCAGTGTATACTTTAGTAAGGGAAGGTTCACTGTTTGTACCTGACTCACAATAGTAGTTCTCTCCTACAAATGATGGAACTGTACTAGTTGCTCCAGTATTGCAAGGACAGGTGAAAGCTCTATTGATATTTGACCTATACTCAGCTATATAAGTCCAGGCATGTTTATGAGGTGACCCACGTGTAATACTGACTCCATCAATATAAGCATCATTGATCTATCATTGTTGTTATATTGAACGGCATCAGTTGGTTCCCTTTTGATATCCAACCACTTTACCACATATTTGACTATAACTGATACTATTTGTTCCGAATATGTTAGACCTACAACGAGCAGAATTACCCTCTCTCCTACAAACTCTAATGCCTCCAGTCATCAATTCCTGAAGTCCAGAAGGACAATTCTGAGAACTATCATTCATATCAAGATAAGCTATTCTTGTCCATCCTCCATCTTGTCCACACAGCTCTCCCATATTGCAGTATATATTGCGACTGTTAACATGATAGTAACCAGAAGGACTGTTGGGATGAGCTGCTTTAATATCTTTACAAGAAACAGGTCGAATGGAATTAAACAAAGAGGATCGATTCTGCTGTATCACTAGTAATTCCTTGACTATTAGTAGTACATCATTAACAGCAGCAGCAGTTGGTATACTGATATCTTTAATAAGACTAGTGTTCAGTAATTGAAGTAGTTCATCTGTAGACCTGTTGGTATTATTAGCATGTACCATAATCTGTTGAATTATGCTATTCATTGTATCCTGTATCAGTGACAGGCTACTGTCAATAGCAGTATTACCACTATTAGTGAGACTAGCACTATTACTGCTTGTATCACATGTACATGTACTCATGAAGGTATCTTTTGATGTTAAGTTAAGTACAAGTATAGCTACCAATAGGAATATTATGATCACCAGTAGAATTATTATTGCAGCAAATGACTTCTTTCCTACAGTATACTGCACTGGTTGTTGAGGAGGTTTGGTATCCTTAACATTAGCTTTTGGTAGCTGATAATCTAATGAATATATCATACATTAGTTTTAATAATAAATTACTTGTATGGTATATACCTGAGTAGTCATGAAGATCTGAGTACATTGCTTCTTCAGTACTAGTATCAGTCTTTACTACTGGTTCATAGGCTGTGTCAGCTTCACTTGTTGACATTGTCTTGTTTTCTATCTCTCAATTCAACAGCTCTTCTCCTATGCAGTTTTCTTATTATGATCATCCTTATAATAGATATGCATACATATTTGATATTTATGTTGAATTTAAATCTTTGCTTTCATTATAGATAGCCTTGCAAGGTTGTGTTTTTAGAACTTATTCATAATTATCACAATGCTTGTTTACACAATAATAAATTCATTTTGTGTTTGTACTAATGACAGTGTTCTATAAAACTAACAACTAAACAAAAACAATGCACTACTTATAATTATTAATTTTTTTACTTAACATAAATTTCATAGAATTGAACTGGAGTATCTTCATTTCCATATCCACTATTCCCACACACCCTCAGTTCAATGTAATCAGTAATGGTAGCATTACCATAATCTCTGAAGAACCATGGAAGACCAGTACCATTACAACAAGAAACTTCTTTTGAAAGACAGTTATTTCCATCCCACAATGAATCACCAGTGTATACTTGACTTTTTGAAGGACCACTGTTTGTACCTGACTCACAATAGTAGTGCTCTCTTACAAATGATGGAACTGTACTAGTTGCTCCAGTATTGCAAGGACAGGAATATTCATTGGTGTTTGACCTATATCCAGCTATATAAGACCAGACATGTTGACGAGGTGACCCACGTGTGATACTGACTCCATCAATATAAGCATCATTGATATCATTGATGTTAGCATGAACAGCATTAGTCGTTCCCTTTTGATATCCAACCACTTTACCACATATCTGACTATAACTGATACCATTTGTTTGGAATACATTAGACCTACAACCAGCAGAATTACCCCCTCTCCTACAAAGTCTAATGCCTCCAGCCATCAATTCCTGAAGTCCAGAAGGGCAGTTCATAGTCATATCAAGATAAGCTATTCTTGTCCATCCTCCATCTTGTCCACACAGCTCTCCCATATTGCAGTATGTATTGCGACTGTTAACATGATAGTAACCAGAAGGACTGTTGGGATGAGCTGCTCTTATATCTTTGCAAGAAACGGTTTGAGTAGAGGATCCATTCTGTATCACTAGTAATTCCTTGACTATTAGTAGTACATCATTAACAGCAGCAGCAGTTGGTATACTGATATCTTTAATAAGACTAGTGTTCAGTAATTGAAGTAGTTCATCTGTAGACCTGTTGGTATTATTAGCATGTACCATAATCTGTTGAATTATGCTATTCATTGTATCCTGTATCAGTGAGAAGTTACTGTTAACATTGTGCTCATTAATCTGTTCTATTAAGTAATCTATTTTGTTCTGCAGAACCAGTGAGATATTATCCATTGCATTAAGGAATAGTGAGTTTTGATTCATTGTGCTTTGTGTCAGTGAGAGGTTACTGTTAACATTGTGTTCATTAATCTGTTCCATGATATATTCTACATTACTCTGGAGGAGTAATGAGCTATTTTTAGTAGCACACCATTCCATTAAGTCATTTATTTTGTTCTGCAGAACTAATGAGTTATTATCCATTGTATTTTGAAGAAGGAGTGAGTTTTGGTTCATTGTATCCAGTGACAGGTTACTTTTAACATTGTGATCATTAATCTGTTCCATGATATATTCCACATTACTCTGGACGAGTAATGAG